AGGGCTGAGAGTTCTCTGATGGAAAGAGCAGCAGGGTTGTTTACATGTTTTAAATTATTTAGCTGCATCAAATATTCAGATTTGTGAGAACAAGAGCAACCCTATTTAAAACCTCCAAGCATATGATGGATGAACTCTGCTTCCAGGCAAGTTCCCAGCTTCCAGCCCAGACTCAAGGAATATTCTGAGAGTTTCTCAGGCTCATTTGGTTCAGCCTTCACCTCTTGGGATGAGTTAAGTGCGGGAGCCATCCAAGGCTGATGATCCTTGGCGAATGTGTTTCAGATAAGTGAATTTTAATGAGAGGTCTCATTGTATCCGTTAGGGAAATTAAAATGGAGGACTTCAGGCTTCAGAAGCAGGAGAGCAGGCCTCTGACCCACCTGGACACTACCTAGATTTCCAGCCTGCCTTTGGGCACAGCAAGTCAAGTGACACTTTAGATAAGAAAGGGAGTGAGTCTTGGAATCTCTTAAGTCCCTGAGGACCTGGCCAAGAACTCCCCCCCTTCCCCCCCCATCTAAGAAGTCTTATGACTCACCAGGTGAAACAAACAGCATTGTAAAAGTTAGAGTTAAACCAGAGATGCATTTTTGCACACAAACTGATGATGATATCAGTCTGGGATCTGGGATTATAAACGAGAGCCCTTCGGACTGCAATTGGATGTCCTACCCGCGGGCTGGATGGACCTCCTGGGTGCTGTGCTGTGCTGAGTCACTTCAGTCATGTCCAGCTCTTTGCGACCCCGCGGACTGTAGCCCACCAGGCTCCTCTGTCCATGGGATTCTCCAGGCAGGAATACTGGAGTGGGTTGCCATGCCCTCCTCCAGGGGATCTTCCCGACCCAGGGATGGAACCCGCATCTCTTATGTCTCCCTCATTGGCAGGCGGGTTCTTCCACTAGCACCAACTGGGAAGACCCTTTCCCAATTAGGATTCCAGGTTGCTGTTAGTGAGGGACCTCCCCGCGCTGTTCAAGTCTGGTTGAAGGTTGTTGGCCTGATTTGGTGATGTAGAGACTGTCACCCTTGTCTGTTGTTTCTATTTCATTTCTTTTAATGACAGCATAGTGAAATTAAGTCAAATAGCCCTCTATTAAATATTGGAATTGTTTATGTGTGTGTAACAAGCAGTTTCTTTTGTTAACAAAGCCTTCGAACCTAAAATAAAAGTAAAACTTCTGGTGAAACAGAGTCCCATACCTCACCTCCCAGAGAAAAGAGATGTTCGCCTTACGAAATCAGGGTTGCGATATTCACATAGAAGTCAGGAGTTTTGTGTAGGTGGGTGTGTGAGCTCAGTCCCTTGGGATCGTGTCTGTGAAATGTGTGTGTGTGTTTCTGTGTATGAAGCTGCTGTTCTTCTCACTAAGCTTCATCATGTTAGGTGAGACCCAATGTGACATCTACCGAAGTTGTTCTGGAGCTCAAGATGGGTCTCCTAATAACAACCATTTATTGAATGTTTCTTATACACCTGATAAATAATAAAGATATTACATTATGTTATCTAACGTTTTCACTCAAAAAAAAAAAAATAAAGAAAAGAAAAACTCTCAGCAAGCCAGGTATTATTATCCCTGTTTTATAGATAAGAAAAATAAGGCTCACAGATGTCTTTCAGAATCAAATCAAGGTCTGGTCTGATTCCAAGTCTGGGGTTTCTTTCCACCATACAGCAGTATCTTTTCTCTGGCAGCTTTCTAGGACTATCCTACATAAAATTTAGTAGCTCTGTCAAAATATTAAATAATGCTTCACCCTCTGTAAAGGTGACCTCTGGGGAGGACAGGGGTAGTGTGTGGAAAAAATGTTGGGGGTGGTTTCTGGGAGCTGGAAAGGTTCTTCTTTTTAATTGGTTTTTTGGCTGCATCATGTGACATGTGGAATCTTAGTTCCCTGACCAGGGATTGAAGGCGTGCCCCTGCAATGGAAGTGCAGACTCCTTTTTCTCCAAATTTATTTATTTACTTTTGGCCGTGCTTGGTCTTTGCTGCGGTGCGGGCTTTCTCTTGTTGCAGCGAGTGGGGGCTGCTCTCTAGTTGCGGTGTTCGGGCTTCTCACTGCGGCGGCTTCTCCTGCTGCAGATCACAGCCTCTCGGGGGCGTGGGCTAAAATCGCTGGGGCATGTGGACTCCGTAGTTGTGCTGGAGGGCCCTAGAGCACAGGCCTAGTGGTTGCGGTGCACAGGATTAGTTATTCCAAGGCGTGTGGGATTTTCCTGGATCAGGGACCGAACCCTTGTCTCCTGCCCTGGCAGGCAGATTCCCTACTCCTGAGCCACCAGAGAGACGAGGAGGTGCAGATTCTTAACCGCTGGGTCTCCAAGGAAGGCCTAGTAATGTTCTGTCTCCATTTTGGTAGAGGTTGCACAGAAGTGCTCACTTTGTGCTAACCCATCAGGGTATAGACATACGATTTGAGCTTTTCTTGTATGTGTTATTCTTCAATAAAACGTTTATTAAAAAAGATCCTCTCTAGCAATTCATGTTGGAAGGGAGCCCTCCCTCTGGTCAATTTGTTAGAATGAACCAACAGGAATTCCTCGGACTCTGTTACATAGTAAAGTTTAAAGTAATACAAATATGTTGGTACCTTGTCCCTTTACAAAAAGGTTACTAAGTGGATCACAATAAAAAGTCATGTACAATAATAAAATAATACTAGGAGGAGGTGACCAGTATTATAGGAAAAGGAAAATTGCTACCCACATATGTTACCCTGTTTGGTATCACAGAAGGTTTAAGGCCAGCTTCTACCCTCAAGATGCTCACAACCAAGTTGAAGATATTGAGCATTTACTAGTGGTAAGTAGACACCTGTCTTCAAATGTACTGGAACTTGTAGGAATAGGCTCCCTTCCAATTTGGTAATCAATAAACCCAAAGGAAGTGAATGTTCTCATGGGCTATAGCCTAGATTTCCTGTGTGGGTAACTGAGGTGGGAAAGACCATACGTGATCAATAATTTTGAAACTTGGACCACCAAGTCTTAAAGTTTTTTAAGTGGATATTTATATATTTATAGGATGGTTTAAACTTGGAGAGACCCATGTATCTAGTCACCAGGATGCTTTTGTAATTGATTTGTAATTATGTTCCCTTTTGTTTGCATGCAGTTTTGACTGAGGCTAGATACACCATCTCTAAGAACACAGACCTTATTCGGGTTTATTTCTAAACTTCCTGACTTGGCAAGTTAAGCATTTTTCTTCTTCTCTATAGCCTAGAGGTTCAGGGACCTAAAGGGAGAAGTCACTGGACTCATCAAATCTATAGACCCTCTTCTCTTAGTAGTTGGCTTTCTACAAATGTGTCAGAAATAGCCAGTGTGGCACCTGGCAGTTTCTGAAAGTTTAATGTGCATATTTATTTTCTAGAGATCATGTTAAAATACATATTCAGATTCAGCAGGTCTGGGGTGGAGCCTGAGATGTCACATTTCTAGCAAGCTCTGAGGTAAGGTCAGTGTTGTAGGTCCGTGAACTACACTTATAGAGAGAAAAGAATACTAGACTTTGAATCATAATTCCTGGCTTTTAGCCCTCTGCCATTCACTACCTTGTTTTCTTGGACAAGTCACTGTACTGCTCCAGGTTTGAGTTTCCTCAGATATCAACTGTAGGCGTGCATGCATGCTAGCAGGCTTCAGTCGTGTTTAACTCTGTGTGGCCCTGAGGACTGCAGCCCACCAGGCTCCTGTCCATGGGATTCTCCAGGTAAGAATACTGGAGTGGGTTGCCATGCCCTCCTCCAGGGGATCTTCCTGACCCAGGGATCAAACCTGCATCTCTTATATCTTCCTGCATTGGCAGGTGGGTTCTTTACCACCAGCGCCACCTGGGAAGGCCAACAACTGTATAGTAGGGGACAAAAGAGGATGAGATTACTTCAAAGCTTACATTCATGGAATTTTCAGAGTGATACCTTGATTTAAAAAATCTCCATGTATAGGACTATATACTGCCTTTCAGGGACTAATAGATAAACTGGTGTTAACAAAGCAGGAAATAAAAGGGCTGAACGAAGAAGGTAGAGAAAGAGATGAGTAGCAATGGTGACTTCTTATAGCAAAATATACATTCTGCTTATTTACAGTGATTTTTAAAAAAAATATTCGCCTGGCTGCGTCAGGTCTTAGTTGTGGATGCAGGAAACTTTAGTTACAGCTTGTGGGATCTAGTTCCCTGACCGGGGATCAAACCCAGGCCCCCTGCATTGGAAGTGTGAAGTATTAGCCACTGGCCCACCAGGGAAGTCCTGACTGATGGGTTTGGATTGGAAAGTGTTGCCTAGAGAGAGGCTGCTACTTTTCTCCAGCAGTCACTTCAAAAGGATGTTATTGATAATTTACATTATAATTTAGTTATGTTACTGATAACTTAGTTATATAAAAATCTTGAATGAGAGAAGCAAGGGGTGAGTATGAGCTATGAAATTAGCACTTTCAGGAGGCTATGAGCGAGTCCTGCCTGGAGGACTTCCAGGTTTCCAGCGGTGCAAGGGAGTCTGGTTTGAAAACAACAGTTTATTTTTGCTGCAGACAGCTTCGATATTTAATTTCAGCAGAGTTGGCCAGGAATTCGGGTATTTGACCTCAACTACCAGACTTAATGGGACTGGAGCTTGGGAGGCAAGGGTGGGAGAACAAATGTATCCTTCCACAAGGGTTATGGAATGCAAAGATTCTTGAGGGTCACAGGGTTGAGAGTCAGGAGAGAGGATGTGAGAAAGGGACACAAGTGATTTAAGTGAATGAACGAAGACCCCGACGATGTGAACCTCTGGCGGCGGCCCCTCCCCCGTGTACACGCATCTGTTTTAAGTAACAAACAGCATCAAGCATAAAGGATTCCCCAGGCTCACAGGTACGGTCTAGTTTCTCTTTAAGTTCCAAAGCCAAGTGAAGGGAAGAGAGAGAACTGGTGACGGCGCCCTCGTCCAGGATTGAGATGGGAACCGGGGGGAGGTGGGGCGGGGGGGCGAAGAGATCCTTACCTTATGCAGGACGTGCTCATGGAAGTCAGGGCCGGCTCCCCCTTGGTAGGAGTCGAGTCTCTGCAGGTCCATGCCCGGCTTGGAGCCCGCTCTTCCCCGGTCTCCCTGCGCTCTGCGTCAGCTCCGTCCGGTCTCCTCGGGGTGCAGCAGGCTCGGGTCTAAGCCCCGCGGGCCGGCCGCATCCGGTTCAGCACTGGACAGCTCCCGCAGCCGCTGCGGCGCGGTACCCTGGGAGCAGGCGGCCTCTTCCTTCCGCGACCGCAGCGTTTCAGCACCAGGAACAGCGATACCGTCTCTGCGCGCCCAGGGCCAGAGTTCTGAGATCCCGTCCCCTGTCTCGTGACTCCAGGCTGTTGGGAGAGATGCAAGATTTCAGTCTAGCCGGCGGTCCGTGCGAATCTCATTCAGCTACCGGATCCCGGGGCCTCAGCGTCCCGGCTGCGTTCTCAGGGCATTGTGGTCCCGGGAGCTCACCGTTCCTGATTCTTAGTGACCGAGCATCCCCGTCACACCGCGCAGCTCAGCTCTCCTCCTGCGGTTGCGGAGGTGAAGCCCAGCGGTGCTGGAGCCACTTCTTTTTGATCTCTAGACAGTTCCCTACAGGATGTATGAGGTCGACAGATGAGGGCCCAGAGGGGTCCCTGAAGTTTCTGAAATAATTTGCACAATTCTGCTTACCTGCATTTCCCTACAGAGAGGGTCCAGAGCTTAAATTACACTCTCTAGGATGCATATGTCCTCCTCCCCCAAACTTAAGAACACTTGGCTTGGGAAAGGCAGAAGTGTTATTTGGTTCAGGCTCCAGAGTTCAAATCATAACTCCGAAAATGACGGGTTTCCCTGGAGGCTCAGCTGGTAAAGAATCTGTCTGCAATGCGTGAGACCTGGGTTCGATCCCTGGGTTGGGAAGATCCCCTGGAGGAGAGAAAGGCTCCCCACTCCAGTATTCATTCAGGCCTGGAGAATTCCAGACACGGCTGACTGACTTAAGAACAATTGGCTTGGGAAAGGCAGAAGGGTTGTTTGGTTAAGGGTGCGGGCTCCAGGGTTCAAATCATAACTCTGAAAATGATAACCTCGGCAAGTTACTTAACTTCCCCTAAGCATCCACGAAGTGGAAATAATAATAGTTCCTACGTCATGGTGTTGTTCTGAGGTTTTAATGAGTTTATTCACATAAACAGCCTAGAATGGTGCCTGACATGTATTAGGAACTCAAAAAATGCTAGCTATTGTGCTTTATGGACAAGGGGGTGAGAACTCTGTCTACCTCTCTCCTGTAGCTGGGATCAGCAATTTGCAGAGTTTTGTTATCACCTGAAAAAGTGAACATGAAGTTGACCCCTATGGGAACTGGGAGCTGAGATGTGGTCTCAGAGGTTATCCTCATATGATGACTTTGGCATTCAGCAAGCAACTACTTCATTAGACACAAATTCTATCACCACCAGCTTCTAGAGTCAATATAATATGGAAGGAAAGGGCCAGGCCTAAGATTAAAAGGGTGAATTTTACTTCTAGGTTTCAATTCCTTTTTTGGCTAGGTGGCTTTAACCAAACGCAAGTCTTTTAGGACTGTTTATGTTTTCTCATCTGTAAAATAGGTAGAACAATTTGTGCCTACCTCATTGTATTTTTGTGAGGAGTTAATGAAACAATTCTGTGAAAATATTTCTTTCTTTTTAAACTGTAAAACCAACCAAAGTAACAGAAGTTTGATTTCCAAACTATTTTTCTGGGCTTCATGCCTTCTGAACCTTTTTGTAACATTCTAAATCAGCATAACAATTTTTGAAAACACTTTATTCTCACAGAAATTACATTTTGGATTGGTATGTTTTTGGTATTTGGAGCTGCTCAAGTGTCACTGGCAAGTACCTTTGTTACCTGAAAACTGGGTTTACCTCCTGGAGGAGTGTCTAACCAAAGACACACCAAGCCAGAGGGTGGGACATGGAGGGATTAATTACTTGCAGTAAGTAAGGAGAACACCAGGGGTCTTTCCCAAAGCAGTGTCTCCCCAAACAGCAAAATTGGGAAAGTTTTAAGCTAAGGGTGCATGGGCTTCCCAGATGGCTCAGTGGTAAAGAATCTGCTTGCTGATGCAGGAGACATAGGCGATGGGAGTTGGATTCCTGGGTTGGGCTCTATCTCTGGGTTGGGAAACTTCCCTGGAAGAGGAAATGGCAACCCACTCCAGTATTCTTGTCTGGGAAATCCCCTGGACAGAGGAGCCTGGCAGGCTACAATCCACGGGGTCATAAAAGAGCCAGACATGACTTAGTAATGGAGCACAGCACAGCACGAGTGCATGTATATTCACGAAGGGGCTTGAGGAGAGGAGATGCAGCGTAGGATCAGGGCAGGCAGGGTCCAGGCTCTAGGTGACTGAAGGCATGATGGTCAGCAAAGATCAGCATCATTATTCCTTAGGTTAGTCTGGTGGTTGATTGCTTTAGGGGGTTTGGATCTTGCAAAACATCCCAAGAATGTGCTTTAGGCTAACCTTACCTTCAAAACAGTACTGGGGGGTCTTCGTAACTGATAGTGCCTCTGATACTGTTATCTCCCTATCTCCCTGGTAATAGATAATGTTTCTTACATTCTTTTTTCCCCTTAAAATCACTAACTACTAATGAGACCCATTCTGCAAGGGTACTGATTGTGGCCAGGCTTAGATCACAAAATGGCTTAGACTTAGAATGCCTTCTTTTTATTTTTTTTAAAATTAATTAATTTATTTTAATTAGAGGCTAATTACTTTGCAATATTGTGGTGGTTTTTGCCATACACTAACATGAATCAGTCATGTGTACATGTGTCCCCCATCCCAAACCCCCTTCCCACCTTCCTCTCCATCCCATCCCTCTGGGTTGTCCCAGTGAACTGGCTTTGAGTGCCCTGTTTCATTCATTAAATGTGGACGGGCGATCTGTTTCACTTATGGTAATATACATGTTTCAATGATATTCTCTCAAATCATCCCACCCTCGCCTTCTTCCACAGAATCCAAAAGTTTGTTCTTTATATCTGTGTCTCTTTTGCTGTCTCACATTACCATCTTTCTAAATTCCATATATATGCATTAACATACTGTATTGGTGTTTTCCTGTCTGACTTACTTCACTCTGTATAATAGGCTCCAGTTTCATCTACCTCATTAGAACTGATTCAAATGCATTTTTTTTAATAGCTGAGTAATATTCCATTGTGTATATGCACCACAGTTTTCTTACCCATTCGTCTGCTGACAGACATCTAGGTTGCTTCTGTGTCCTAGCTATTGTAAACAGTGCTGCGATGAACATTGGGGTACACGTGTCTCTTTCAAAATGACTTCTTATTATATCAAGAAAGCTGTGTTTGGCTCTCTTCCTCTGGGGACCCCCACCAATCCTATCTGCTTACATACCTGCAGACCTATCTCAGAAGAGTGATTCATTTTATGAGGCTCTCTGATCTGAATTTTTTAGAGGTGACATTTTCTTACACTGCAATGAAATAAAACTCATTTTATGACGAGGTAAGAAAAAAAAATGACATATTTGTCTGCTTGTCTGGTCTCCTCCCTCGCCTTTAGTGTGTGTCATGCATTTGCAATGACCTCCTTAGAAGACAGCATTCCTTCTAATTTTGTAAGGGGTCGTGATGACTCACAGCTGCTTTGTACGTGCAAATCTGGATTGTATGAACCATCAAATACATCATCTGATGTACAACCCTTTGTCTCAAAAACATATGTAGCAGTTCTCAGAGCTTTCTGAAAGACTGACTCCTGGGTTTAAATCCTTAGATTTTTTTTTTAATACACTTTTCATTTATTTTATTTGGTTGCATTGAGTCTTAGTTACAGCCTGTGGGATCTAGTTCCCTGACCAGGGATTGAACCCAGGCCCCTTCCATTGGGAGCACAGAGTCTTAGCCTACTGGACCACCCAGGAAATCCCCTTAGATTGTCTTGAATAAAGTATCTCACACAGGGGCTCTGTAATAATCAGAAGGGTGGGATGGGGAGGGAGATGGGAGGGAGGGGACATGGATGTACCTATGGCTGATTCTTGTTGATGTTAGATAGAAAACAACAAAATTCTGAAAAAGCAATAATCCTTCAATAAATAAATAAATACAAAAATCTCTTTCTTTCTTAGATCAACTATTAAGTTTTTTGTTGACAGCTGTCTCCATGTGCTGAGGAGGTATTTATTTGCACAGGGACTCTGACGCCAGAGGGGCAACTATGTTACAAATCCAGCTGACTGCTTATTCCCCTTTTTGGGGTTTGCCTCTTGGTCCAGCTCCCCTCTGCTGGGAAATGGTGTTAGAATTCTGCTAGGGAATGTGGTTCTGAGTTTCTTCTTTCAGTCCTTGATTTCAGGATCTGTTGAATTTTCTATGCTCAGTTCCCTTTCTTTATCTCTGCACAACTTCAGTGGTCAGCAGTTTTATCTCTGCACAACTTCAGTGGTCAGCAGTGTTGGGTTCTGTGAGTTCAGTGGTTAGCTTCACCTTTGGTTTCATGGTTTACAATCCACATTTTTATATTAAAGGCAGGCTATGTTCACTCTGAGAAGTTTGTCTCTATCAGCATCTCCCTGTTACATGGGATCCGTAAGAGCACTCATTTACATTTTATCTACTTTATTAAAGTTTTTTTTTGTTTTGGTTGTGCTTCATGGCTTGTGGGATCTTAGTTCACTGACCAGAGATCGAATCTGGGTTCAAGGCAGTGAAAGCAAGACTATTAACCACTGGACATCGGGGAACTCCCTCATTTACATTTTAATAGGAAACTTTCAGTCGGGAACTCCCTCATTTACATTTTAATAGGAAACTTTCAGTCCTTTGTCTGGGAATAGCAATCACTTTTGGTGAGTTCCCTTTCTATATCTATCATGACTGAACTAAGTTTAAGAATTTTTATTTTTTTCATTTCATCTGGAAAATTGTAAACAAAGCAATAAATGCCTGTAAGTCAAAATACAGAAAGATATATTCAATTAAAAAAATAAAAAGGAAAATATAATGGTATGAAATGGCTCTTCTCTCAACTTCCAGTCTCTCTCAGGCAAAAC